TATATATAAAAGCATTTAACCTCAAATGCTGAATTTTAAGAGGTTTATATAACTCTTAAAACATCATATACAATAACTTTATACATTTAAAAAATACTGAATTATTTGGTCAACAAAATGAAAAAGTCAAATAAGATAGTAACAATTCCTATTATATCTCATTCTTATCCGCTTTAACAAACGAACTCATCTTCCCCGAACTTCAGTCGTTCCTTAGCTTCAATCTAAGCCGATTGAATCGGTCAAACATTAAATATATGCTTTATATTGCATCCACTCTCTCATTTCTTTCACAATTGCTTGGCGAGGTAAGTTTTTTCTTCACAATTTCATGATTTCATTGTTTTTCTTCATGATTTCAGTTGGAAGCTCAAGCAAAAAGGTGCGTAAAACCTAATTTGATGACAATCTCTATGATTATGTCCTATTATAGTTTGATATACCTGTTTGTTCCCTAATTATTTATGATCTGATTTCATCACAAATGTATGTGTAGGATAGAACAACCAAGTCTTCCAAGTAACAAAACACTTCACCACCACCGCTGCCATCCTCCGTTGCATACGTTTGTTGTTATCACCGTCATCACATCTGCTGCTTGAACTCATGGTATCTAATGGGATTTTTATTTATTTATTGTAGGATGAATATGATGATAAAAGATTGAACAAGTTAATTTTTTAGTGTGTTAGTCTGTGGTATATTAAAAGCACGAAGAACCCGCTTTTAAGAGTTGTAATTAGCTATAGGTTTACTTTGGGGAATCCTTTTCTCAGCCGCCAGCACCACCAATCCCCGCCTCTCACGAGGCTTTTTTGCTCATTTGGCTATGATAGGGAGGTGGAATATGTTTATGGGGGATCTAAAGGTTTAGAGGAAGAATCACTATCACTCCAATTCACTTTCAGCGTTACAAAAAAACTGGTATTCAAACCTAGAAATCTTTCTCTTTCTCCTCTGCTATTTCTTTGTTGCAAAACTATGACATACTCATGCCCTATCCCTGTATCTCATACACGATTCTGTAGAACTTTTTGGATTGTATAGGAAACCCTAGGAGAGGCTTCTTAATCAAAAAACTACAATGGATACTACTATCAATTCTTAATGCAGAGTCCAAAAGAGTAATTTATTGGTGGAGAAAGGTATACTGATTCATAATGTTACCTAGTGCTTTCAAGCTTGAGTTTACTTTTTCCATGAGTTATTTTTTGCAGGAGTATATGATGCTTTGTAGAAGAAATATCTCACGACACTAATGTTCTCAGAAGAAATATTTCAGGAGTCAGGATACCAATGGAGGAAAGTATACTTATTTTTACATGAGTCATTCCTAAATCCCATTTTTTGCATTACCTAAAACCCAAAACTTTCAATAGTTAAATGAGTTTTTTGTTAAAAATTCTATCGTTTTATCAAGAATTATGGTTATTATTAACCATGGATCATCGAGGCACAACAACAAATGCAAATGTATTTTCCTATGTTTTTTTTTCTTTTAATCATTAACGATATATGTTTCTTTTTGAATTTTCTTTCTCAATAAATAAACATAATCATCTCCATATACTTTTTAGAAGATTCCTGATGCTCTAATGAAAAAATTAAAAAAAGTATATTGGAGCATTTGTTTATGTATATATGTCTCAAAATAACCAATTTATTTAATTTGTATAAGATTGAAATGGTGCTTCTAGGTTTTCAAGTAATCTTTTTAAAAGATAATTGTGAAATATTTGAATAGAGGTGGTTAGTTTTGTAGATGATGGACAAATATATTGGTCTTTCTTTTTGGTTCAAATCATCATGTAATGTAAGTTGATCATATTAAAACATAATTTAATTTATTTAAAAAATCACTTCCTTTCCGGTCGATTGTCAAAAGCAGATCCACACTTCTCGCTTGCAGCTGAAAAAGGAAATCATCTTTGGAAAGGAAATCATGGTGGTACGTTGTAGTGGGAAAATACTTTGTCTTTGATTTGGTTGAAGCATACCGATAGAAATGGTTAGACTCATCGCCTTATTTAATGAAATTAAAGAAGATTCAAGTGGTAAAATAATTATTGTTTGTATCTTTATTGATTTTTCACCTGTTATATTTTGTCTTCACAAACTAGCATTGTACGTGGGTTACTTGACACGTTGTAGAATAAACAAAATCCTGTGTTATGTTTATTATTTATATTATATATTAAGGATTGAGTTGAAAAATCTGATGCACACCATGTGCTTAACTATGCGTCTTAATAAAAAATGCTTAAATTCTTTTAATTGTGGATTTTTTATCAGGAAAAAATATTAAAGATGGTTTGCTTGGTTATTATTAACTTTATATTTGAAATAAGATAATGAGATAATTATTTATATATGGGTCTAACGGCCAATATGGTTTAGAAATTTGTTTGGCATAATCATTCATTTTTTTTTTGCAAATTAACAAGTAAATTTTCGGATTAAATAAAAAAATACAACTTCAACCATAAAAATATTCCTCCAATAGTTTTTTGCAATTAATCACAGAGAAAAACTTTATAGTTGTTTTTTTTTATAAGAAAAACAAATTCTCAATGACTAAAACCAAAAAGATAAATAAATAAATAAATAATAAAAAAAATGTTTTTTACGGAATTTTATACTTTTATTATTACTTAAACTATTTTCTTAATAAAATTATTAATTCTTATAATTTAATTTTTGTATATCTTTTTTCCTAAAATAAGGTAAAGATTTGATAACATTGGATAACAAATATGTTTATGTGCTAAATTCTAATCGTCAAATGTATATTTTAATGTTAACGAAATAATATATATATCGATATATAACATTTTTTTTGTAATATGACATTTAAAAAAAAAAGTAATTATCGCCATCTAAGATCTATCAGAAGGAAATGGATCACCTAATGGAAAATGTTTGTTCTCTGTCAAAAGGAAAGTAATTGTTGGGTTATATACAAACCCACAACCCATCAAACCATCCAAGTTTCAGAACAAGTTAAAAATTACGGTTATTTGGAGTTGACATTCTGAGTGATTAATTGTAATTTGCAAAGAAGTGACACAAAAATTGATTTATCAACGTTTGAGGATTGTGAGAACTAAAGAATAATTAACATTTTGTTACTTAGTTAATATTTAATGGTTTTTATGGTTTTATCTGATAGTCGTACATATACTATTCACCGAAATTAATTAATCACCGCCCATAAATTATTCACGATAACACGACCTATTGTTATTTATACCTTATCTATCATAATTAACTAGAATTTATCCTTGGAGCACATTTGCTTCGAATTCGATTATCTTTTGCGATGACAATCAATAAAGCTCATGGAATAACAATTCAGATGTAGGTATTTATCTTCCAGAATCGGTTTTCTCGCATGACCAACTTTATGTGACATTATCCAGAGAGATATCACGTGCCAATCCAAAAGTATTAGTGAAGTCTGACAAAGAATTCAACGACAGTGAAGTCTATACATCAAATGTGGTGTATAAAGAAGTGTTGCACGATTAAGAATGTACAACCAATCATGTGTTCACGTGCACTTGTATGAATCCCAACTTTTCTTTTTTTAATTCTCACTAATTTCGTTTCTGCTAACATAACTCTTATTGATAATTGTTTAGATGTAGTAAACTATTTGCGTAAAAGAACTAATTGTCTCTCGATACAAATTTCTTAAAAAGTATTCGCACCTGGCGTTTGGCGCGGGTAAACAGCTAGTGTGTGTGCGTGTATATATATATATATATAT